ATATTTTCTATCGATATATCGATAATCCATAAATTTTGATTAAAAGTTTCTTTTCCTATCTCTATTTCCGAGTTTGAGTTTTGACAAACGATCTCTGGGCCAGAATTTCGTCCCTTAAACTTAGGTTACAGTAGCTAAGAAAAATATATATGTATCTCTGTCTACCATGGAAACCCACGATGTTTCATTTAAATCAGACCTTTCTCGTAAAAACACGAAATTGTGGGCCACGAATTTAATAATTTAATAATTTAATAATACACGTTTCAATAATTTCGAAAATTTCTTGTAGGTACTATGACAAGAAGCAAGTAATTGACAATGCTGACTATAATTATTTTATACTATAAAATAGTATAAGAGACTATGATAATATAATACTATAATATATCTAGTATATATACATCTTAATACTATAAGAGACTATATAGACTACAACAATTTTTGTTATGTCGAATTTTGGACTGGTCTGTACTATAAATGAGCTGAATATTTATCATTCTGTAATTCCTTTTCCACACAAAATCTTTCCAATGCTAGAACGCAGAAACTTCTCCAGCTTTCCTAAAAACTAGAGAACGTCCTGTACCAGGAATTGCTGCACCCAGAAACCCATAAAGCGAGGGTTTATTTTCCCGCCATAGATTCGGGAGGAGCACAGCACAGTGCATAGAGTAGCTAGAACTGGAAGAGTACCCCGAGAGGCGTCCAAAGTGGCGAGTGGTAGTCGCCCTGAACGATTCCGGGGAAAGTGACCAGTAGCGAGGACTGGCTGACCACAAGTGACCATTGAGTGGACGTCGTCGACGTGGAGTAGCTGACCAAGGGGTCAGTCGGCGGCGTGGTGCAGCCTCGGACACTTTGGCACTTGCAGAAAATCAGAGGAACTGGAAAGTGGCCACCCACCCTGCTCTACACCCTCCTCGAGCGATATTTACCCTGGAAGATCATCGTCAGCCTAACTCCCGTGTTTTCCCCCAACTGTTCCACCATCGGGTACAAGGGAAACGAACCGACAGACACTCGGACAACAACGGGCAGACTGGAACGAAGACGGAAGCCGGACCTATCAGCTCGCAGACAACGATAGGCTGAAACGAAGACAGAAAGCTCGCCGATGAGCGCACGGGCGACAATGGGAGGAAGATAGGAAGCGAGGCGATCAACGCAGAGACAAGAACGAAAGACTGCGAGGAAGGCAGAGACGGAACCGGGACTCGTTTGACTATCAGTTGGCGGTGTCACAAGTCTCCGGTAATGGAATGCGTTTCTCGCGTTAAGGGGGACGTCCATCGGAGCCCGGTGGGCGTGTGTCTTTCGAGTGGCATTAATAGGTCTTTGTTTCGTCGGAGGAGGAACTGGAGGATGCCCCGGCAGCACGTCGTCAGCCGTGCGAGTCTATTATTCGAATGTGGAACAGATATCGGTTGTCGATATGCCAGCGGGTCTAAATATTCGATCGATTCATCGGCCACCTCTCTCTCCTTTCCCTGTTTCTCGCCTCCTTCACCGATCCTTCCACCCTCTTTCAGCCGCCTGCGCCCCTCTCGGCGCTCTCGCCAAGCTCCAGTCAGCCCTGTGTTCTCTCAGACACCCTCGCGCCGGTCCTTACGTGCCTCGAGCGAACCTTTCCTTTTCACTTCGGCCAGACCACGTCGTCCCTGTTATCGCGAATTCGCCGCTGCGACTCGCAATAATGAACTTGCAGGCAATCGATAGGCATCGAACGCGACCAACGCCGTCAACTTCGCCCGATTTCCCGCGGAATCGCTCACGGAGTCGTGTCCTGAATGGCCTGGAAGGTGGGGGTGGCGCGTCCAGGGTGGTTTCTCGAGGAGAGATCGAAGGAAATACGCCGCGGGGGTCTGGCGAGTTTTCGAGAATCGCGGAAACCATTTCGCTCGGCATTTTCCAATCTTTTTAATGGAAACACCGCGACCAGGAAGGGTATTTCGCGCTGGCGATCGAAAACTGCCGGATTTATCGCTCCTTTTTCGCTCGCAAGATCGACGAGGAGTTGGCGAAAGTTCCCGGGGCTGGTTTCGAGTGGTAGCAGAAGTTGGTCTTCGGGACGGTAAAGGAGAAAGAAGATTAAAGGAACGGGGAGCAAGGTAGGAAGATTATTTAGCTACTCCAGTCGGCCTCTGATCCATTCGTTTAACTGAAATTCGGAAAACCTTCGAAATCGGTGGAAAAACATCGTAACGATGGAATAATCGTCCCTCCTTACTTATGCGTTTTATCATCCTCGAGGAATATATATATAATGACTTAAGGACCCATTAAACGGAAGGAGGCCTCCTTCAGATATAAAGGTTAATACCGTATTAATGAATAAAATATCGCAGGCTCTCCCGATGCACGATACTCCCCCCATTATCCCTTCGATACGTCCGATAATGTAAAACTGAAGCGAAATTTCTTCCATGGCCGACGAGGGATCGCCGTTAACAAGGGTCCTCGCCGTGAAATTAATCGTCCTTCGAGGAAGCTGCTCGAAAGAGGAGCTTTTCGATTTTCCTACCGTTCATTTCCCCCGTAATGTCCTTCGTTATCGACGGGCAAACGTTACTTCCACTAATGAGCATAGCCATAGCCGCCTATCGGTGTTCGTCTATCAAACGATTCCCGTGGAATGTCGATAATACGCCGCGTCGACCAGGAAACACACGGAACCGGGCATCTCTTTAATTACACAACGTATTGACACTCGATAAATCGACTTCGTCGGCCCGTTCCGCCTGGTTCCGGCTCGTGACTCGTTTAGAAGACCCGATCACCTGGATCTCGTACCGTAGACCTACTCGTTATCCGCTTAATAAACCGCACGATATCGGTTTCGGGCTGCAAGGTATTGATAAGTCACGCGAGTAGCCGGGACGCGAGCTGTAGCTGGCTTTTTAATTAACGTCCATTCAGCTGTCGATCGTCCGCGAAGAGTCCATTGTCGTCGCCAGTCGATCGGATAAATACGCTTTTAATTCTACGTCCAAGTTCGGTGACTAACCGCAGCGAAGGAACGCTCCTTCGCTCCGTACAGGTCGCGCGAACGATACACGCGACAGGCTATAGCCCGTGCCGGAGTTTCCGCGCGCTCAGGGTTGCTCCCCCACCACCGCGGCGCGAGTAGGCCACGCCCGCGCGGCCCAGGCGCGTGTCGCGTCACCGCGGGTCCCTGCGACACCGCGTAGGGAGTTTATGGACGCGCTGATCCCCTTTTAACCTCATTGCGCGAAGCTGCCGCGATTAATTCGCGTCGCGCGTTAACGACCGTGGAGAAGCGACGGTTGGCCAATGGCGGATCGCGTGGATGAATAAAAATACCCGGGATTCCGGGGTAATCCCGCGTCTTAACGACGTCACGTTGCGAAGGGACGCGCGTGATCGTCTGTCTCCACCCTGTTTCGACGCCGGACAAGCGTCGGGCGATAAAAACGAACGGTGATACGCGTTAATCGCTTTATCCGTATCCTCGTCGACCTTACAACCGGTAACTGCAGCTTCACCGGCGCTCTGTTCGCCGAGGTAATCGCGGATAATCCCGCAAATGGCCGCGATTCGAACAATGATCCGGCTGCTGTCTACCGGTTCCCGCCGTCGGGATAGCCGCGCGGCTCACAATGCCAACGAAATCGAACGGCCGGGGAAAGGGGCGGGGAAAGGGTCGAGGTGAAAAGCTCTTTCGGTGTTTTCGTTTTCATCGACCCTGCTGCAGGGACGATCGAGTTATCTTCCGGACGGGAGCTTCGTCACGTTGGCTGCATACGGCCGGAATGGAACGGTGGGTGTTAGCGAAAATTGATTATTTTACTCGGAGCACTCTTTTTTTTCGAAACAATTTCCTCGTTATCGCGATGGGACAGCAGGCTTTTAACCACGCGTGCGACTAACTCGTGACGATCGTGAAATATGTCCGGGAAAATGTAGAAATGCCACGAGGAAAATTTGTCTCCTACTATTTCCCAGCTCAAATAGGATTTCAACCATTCAACTTTCGGTTTGGTAGTTGAAAACGTATATCCCAAGTATTATTTTCGTCCATTTAATAAGTTCCTTTTCTGTCTTTTTCCATTTTTACTACCTGAGTCGAAGAGAATATTTCGATAATTTTGAAAATTATTTTTGTGCACTCAAATTTTTTCAAGGCCGTAAATTAGAAGAAGACAAAGACTGGTACGAGTATAGATCGCATAATTCGAATACCTGGAATACAGCAATTCCAAATCTGATGAAAAAATATACAGGGTGTTCCATTCAAGCTGACTCAGCGAGAAAAAGCGATTTAAAAACCATGAACTATTTTTGCATTTTCTATTTCATAATTTTAGAGGCAGATTGTTCCCCTGAAATCAACTCAATCGACACCCTGTATATTGCATATAATTATTTATTCCTATAATCTGTTATCATCCTGTAATACCCACTAAATCAAACTTCGCACCACTTAACCTAACCTCGATCGAGACGTACCCTTCCTCCACTCAACCCCTACCATTTCCTCATTATTACACCCCTCGCTCTGAACTAAAGCACCCAAACAACCCGGCGAGGAAAACTCTCGCGCAAGCCCCATCATTCGTCACCGATCTCACCCCTCTAACGACTGCCGAACAAAGAACAAGCTCCCGGAATAAGAATCTAGCCTGACGTGTCCTGGCGAACTGCTCTGCCAACTCACCAATCGATATCCCGTTGTTACGCGATCGCGGCGCGGATCAGCTCGGCGGAAGCGGGCGCGTGTGACGCGCTCGGCGATGAAATCGAGTTAGCCGGCACACGCGCGGAATTCCTGAATTCTCCGGTGAAAACACGGGCCACGGCTAATTTGCCGTGGGCGGGGCCGTTGATCGATGATCGATCGGCCGTCATAAATCCGCGCGTTAACCGTTAATTGCCGATACGCGGCGCGCGTGCAACGGCCTCCATGGGGACGCGCGACGCCGTTTACGCGCGGCAATTTGTCGGATAATATCGGGTGGGTCGAGACATAAAATACTCACCGTTCTCCACGTAATAGCTGGTCTCGTTGTACCGCTCGTCCGTGAAGCCCGGCCTCTTCGCTTTCAGCGCTTTCGTTTCCAATTTCGCCTGCAACAGAGAGAGAGCCGTGGTTGAGAACAGGCTGATGATGGTGCTTGGGAATGGCCACGCGACGACACGTGGTAGTGGAGGATGAACGAGGATCGAGGAAGGGATCACACTGGGGAACGCTCGATCTTTTAGCGCTGGTTAATCTTTGGGGCGGAGCAAGCAGGTGAAGGTGAGAAGGAACCGAGAGTCGACGTGATGGAATGGAGTCTTCGAGGTGATCGGTTTAGCAGGCGTCGATTAGGAGCAATTGGGGAAGGTGGATTGGGTGACGGGTGCCACTGGATGGGGTTGCAGAGAGAAAAGTGTGGCAGGTGTTGCGGTGAGTTTGATCGAGGGTGAATAATTCGCAGGTTTCGGGTGGAGGATAAGTGTATTTTAATTCGATAAACTAGAATATTTGAAACAGCGATGGTATATGAAGGAGAAGGGAAGTGTGAAAATTATGTCAGTTAAGGGAGGAAATAATTCAGAGACACATTGCTCGACCAATGTTAATATTAGTCAGTAAAACATGGTTAATAAAGAGGTAATGAGTTTTGTATAACTTTGGTTTGTTTCTCTTCCCCTGTGATAGCCTTAAGACGGTTCTGCACAGAACTCACTAGCGCCACCACGACCCGTAAGTAGAATATTAGCCAGAAAACGTAGTTAATTAAAAGGTAACAAGTTTCAATATAATTTTGTTTTATTTCTTTTCCTCTGTGATGGCCTTAAGACGGTTCTGCACAGAACTCACTAGCGCCACCACGACCCGTAAGTAGAATATTAGCCAGAAAACGTAGTTAATTAAAAGGTAACAAGTTTCAATATAATTTTGTTTTATTTCTTTTCTTCTGTGATGGCCTTAAGACAGTTCTGCACGGAACTCACTAGCGCCACCACGGTCCCATATCTCCAATAAATGTAACCAATAGAAAATTTCCTTAGTTACTTATAGGACAGCGCTAAGACGATTTTTCACTTAACTCACTAGCGCCACCACGGTCCATATCTCCCACAAATGTAACATAAACACATCGTTGAATTATTTTTTAAATTTTACTGAAGTAATCCTGATGTTACATGTACCATATCGTTCCATATATATTTCACTCTAACATATAAATGTAAGCGCTGTTTCTACTTTCGTATATACATAATTAAAACATAAATAATCACATATGGAAGAAAAAATGGATCAAAATTTGGCAATAATTACAAGTCACGTCCCCTTTATCCTATTTCGTTTCCAAAAATTTCTTTCTCAACAGAAGAGCACTCCATATCTCTATAGCATATCATTTTAAACTATGACATTTTCAAATGATAATTTTACATTTTATTATGTTGTTCGAAAAGTCATTTCCTTCTCTTTTTTTTTATGAAAATGAAAGACAATTTTTGTATAGTGCCTAAATATTTTATTTTTTTATACGAAATTACTTTCCGAATAACCTAATGAATATATTGCTTCAATATATCCATAAGCAATAAATTGATCAATGATTTCTGTATGTTGATATAATATACAATTAATCTGTCACGACTCGTGGCGTTAAGTAACAACAAGAAAGGACGAGACACAAACAGTAACAGGCTTACAAAAACACGATACAAATGTAGCGTTATACGAAGAGCAAACGAGCGGCAGAAGCCCCAGAAGGAATCGAAGTATAAACGAGCGAAATTCCGCTAGGAAAAAGGAAAAAGCGGGAATTCTCTCTTTATCTCTGAAAAACCAAAAAGTAAAAGGGAAATGGGGCTGGGGAGGGGAAGAGGAAAAACAAACGGAAAAAGAAACACGTACACGCGTGCAGACACAGAGAGACAGGGACCGCGTCGCGACGCGACCATTTCCGGCTCGAAGCGGCGCGCTGGCAAACCCTAGCAGAACGGAACAATCTTCCCTTTGTTCTACGTGAACCGTGCAAAAGCGGCGCCGTGTTCCAGTGCACGGCCAGCCTTCAATTATAGCGGCCGAGTTGCGCCGCTCGGTCGGCCGAAATAAATTTACCCGCGGCCGACATTAATTCTCTCCTCGATCCCGTGCCAATAATTCCTTCATTCCCGGTTCCACCAAACGGCCCTCCCCGACGCGGACTCCCCGTGTGTCGAAAGGACACGAATCCACTGGACCATTTTCGTCCCCGCGAAATTCTAGCGTGTCGCAGCTCGAACGAAATTTGAACGAGAACGACTGAATGTCGGGATTTTACGTATAATATTCAAGTACAGAAAGAGGCTCGAGAATTTTAAGGGATGATAGTTGGAGAATCTTTGTTTGAATTACTATGGTGTTTCTTTGGAAATTTTTTAGGGTTCCATTTAATACGAAATATTGGAAAATTTGAGTAAAAATAAAGGATTTTTAATTTGGGAAATTAGGGTTGCATTAATTCATTATTTTAAAGAGTGGTATTTCGAGAATTTTTGGTTGAATTACTATGGTGTTTCTTTCGAAATTTTTTGGGTTTCCATTTAATACGAAATATTGGAAAATTTGAGTAAAAGTAAAGGATTTTTAATTTGGGAAATGAAGGTTGGATTAATTCTTTATTTCAAAGGATACTATTTGGAGAATATTTGGTTGGACTGATATGGTGTTCGTTTGGAAATTTTTAGGGTTCCAATTTAATTTAAAATTTGGAAAAGTGTGACTGAAAATTGAAAAATTTAAGTTGGATAATCCTTGGTGCTTGGACAATTCGAGGTGGGATTGTTACACTGTTTCTTCGAAAATTTTGGTGTTGAATCCTTGAATTACTATGGAGCTTTTTTGGAAATTTTTGGGGTTCCATTTAATTCGAAATATTGGAAAATTTGAGTAAAAGTAAAGGATTTTTAATTTGGGAAATTAAGATTAGATTAATTCATTATTTTAAAGAGTGGTATTTCGAGAATTTTTGGTTAAATTACTATGGTGTTTCTTTCGAAATTTTTTGGGTTTCCATTTAATACGAAATATTGGAAAATTTGAGTAAAAGTAAAGGATTTTTAATTTGGGAAATGAAGGTTGGATTAATTCTTTATTTCAAAGGATACTATTTGGAGAATATTTGGTTGGACTGATATGGTGTTCGTTTGGAAATTTTTAGGGTTCCAATTTAATTTAAAATTTGGAAAAGTGTGACTGAAAATTGAAAAATTTAAGTTGGATAATCCTTCGTGTTTGGACAATTCGAGGTGGGATTGTTACACTGTTTCTTCGAAAATTTTGAGAATTGAATCCTTGGTTGAATTACTATGGTGCTTTTTTGGAAATTTTTGGGGTTCCATTTAATTCGAAATATTGGAAAATCCGAATAAAAATAAAAGATTATTAATTTGGGAAATTAAGGTTGGATTAATTCTTTACTTTAAAGAGTGGTATTTGGTGAATCTTTGGTCAGACTGATATGGTGTTCCCTTGAAAATGTTTAGAGTTCCAATTTAATTCAAAATTGGGAAAAGAGTGACTGAAAATTGTAAAATTTAAATTGGATAATCCTTGGCTTCTATGATAACGTTTGGACAATTTGTGGTGGGATTGTTATACTGTTTCTTTGAAAATTTTAGGGGTTGAAAATATGGAACACAGTGACCGAGAATAAAAGATTTTTAATTCGAGAAACGAAGGTTTTTTTAAAAGGTTTTGTTTTATGGAGTTCGCAGCCGAAATACTTCGTTATCCCGTTGAAAATTACTCGAGTTACAATTTTCTTTCATGTATGGAAAAATATAACTAAAACTCGAAACTCGAAACTCGAAAATTCTTCGTTTTTGACGTAACATTCCCACAATTTACCGTAGAACTAGTTCCATGTCCCTTTAAACTTCACAAGCAACCAGAAATTGGAATTTTAAATTTATGAAACAGAGATCTGAGAACCGAATGAATCATAAAAGAAAAATTTCGAAAACTAGCAAAAGTTGTAATTAAAATTTGCAATCTGATATAAAAGAAAAGATGGAAGATCCGAGAATCCTTCGTTACTTAGTCCCCCTGTATCCTAAATTCCAACGAGAGACTACATTCCACGAATTGCGATTTGATCGCAATTCAAAATATGTTAACCAAAATCTGGAACTCGGAATTAGCAAGACAAAATACTTAAGATACATGAAACAATTCTAAGAAACTTAGAAAAACAAGGAAAACACGAATTTTAAAAAGGAAAAGAAAACTGAAGGTTTCTTCGACCCCTTTCTCAAAAATTTGTAGAATTTTGAGTAGCCAATGGGAAAGTTGGAAGACAGGGGGGATTAGTGAGCGATACGAACCGAGATCGTGATTGAGCAATGGAGTCAGAAATATCGCTGGCCACGGATGAATGTGAAATATAAATTTTTATTTCCCGAAAGGGGGGATGGCGAACAACGTCTGGCGTGATACAGGGTTGTAGTTGACGTGAATTGTGTGATTGCGAAATATGGAGATCCTTGTAATATTTTACCCTGTATACGTTCCGAATTTATCGTTATTCTTCTCCCCCTTTTTCCCTTCCCTTTTTTTCATTTCTACTTTTTTCTTCTCCTCCTCTTTTTAATTTCCGTTTGGATCACAATCGTCAGAGAAAATAGCCGCAGCGCGTATTTTTTCAGGAACGATTACGCGATTTATGCGCGCAGCTATTTATCCCAACGAGGTGGTTCTCTTTACCTCGTATCGCCGCCGCAATGGTAATAAAAGGGAAAATGGCGGACACGGGAAGAATCGCGAGAGCCATTTTTTCCAAGCTCGCCATTCAAGCCCCGGTTTCCCAGCATGCCACGAACCCCATTAAATGGTCAGACGAATTAATTTAGAATTTCCCCCCGACGGACGTACTCCGGGATCATAATCCCCTCGACTCGCGCAACTCCATTTAATAAGCATAATTAATTAACGTTTGACCGATTTTGATCTAACTCCCCCCCATCGTTTCTCTGATTTCCCATTATATAAACGACAGAGAAGAAAGAAATTACGTAAATACAATTATCGATGAATAAATAGCACAAATGGTATAGGTAAAAAGAGAACAATTATCGATACAGAA